AGGTCACAGAGAGAGAATCCGATAGGTCACCGATATGGTAGTCCAAAATGTCATCCAACAAGATCAAAATGTCGAGGACAATCAGTAACAAATGTCGGAGATACAGAGTCCAAATGTAACCGGTGTCCGAACTGTGATGCCGCCAAGTATCAACCCCAACAATCTCCAAGTCTCCAATCCGGTAAGTACCACAGTCTCATACCACCGAAGTCCAACCCTGATCTCTGTCCAACTAGTATAAGTCTCCAATCTGAAGAAGAAGAAGAAGAAGAAGAAGAAGAAGAAGAAGAAGAAGAAGAAGAAGAAGAAGATGGAATCTGAGGAGAAGAAGAAGAAGGGAGCCGAGGAGGGGAGAGAGAGAGAGGGGACTGGCGATGGGAGGGAGGAGAGAAGCCTCCAACTCCCGATACCTCAGGCGGCTATGGCCTCCGATACACTCAGTCGCCGCTGCTGCTGCTGCGCTAATGCTGCGCTGCACTGCTCCTCGCTCCTGCGCTAAACATAGCGCCAGCGCTGTTTCGCGCTGTACCATACCGTACCGGTAGAATGCCGGTAGKTCGATGGCCTCGAAGTGAGGCCGGACCAGTACTAAGTACTGGTTCGAAAAGGACCGGCCTCAATGCTGCGAGGCCTTGGTTGGGGCTGAACTGTCCAGATCAACGATTCAGGTCCAACAGGAGAGCGGCAGCCTCAAACGGCGCCGCCAGGCCCAAAACGAAATGTCGTTTGGGCCTGGTCCGTAATCGGGTCCAAGTCGTGGCCTTTCGGCCTAAGTCCCTCTAGCCCTAAGTCGTGGCCTTTCGGCCTGTTATCCCCCAAGGTCGGGCCTTTAGGCCCTGATGTGTCCCTCTAGCCCTAAGTAGGGTCCGGTAGGACCCGTGTGGCGTCGAAGATGTAACAGAGAGAGAGAGGGGGGGGGGGAAATAACATGGATGCTCGCTCGATTGAGAAGGAAGACTGGCATCTCGCCATGCAACTTAACTCCAAATATATGAAGAAGAAGAGAAGCTCACATCAAACTTGTGTGCATCAAAACCCTCAAACACAGAACGAGAATACACAAACACGACGAGCAGATATGGAATGAGAATTTTATGAAGCCTTTATCCCCTTTCTTCTCACCCTTTCTCCTTGCCAATGGACAGGCTTGGTGCTGCTTCCACAGGCAAGCACTGCAGTTCCAGACTGGGGAAAAGGCCGGAACAGTCCCTGGTCCCAGAAAAAAAAGGGGTCCCAGTTCCCACAAAGAATCATGTCGATATCACTGAGGCAACTCCTGCGTTATGACCCTGGTTATCTCACAATGCAAAGCTCGTAATGAGACGATGCCATTCAATTGCAACTCAAATGAAAGAGATTGGATTGCGAACCAGACCAGGGAAGGGAAGGAGTACGAGTTAAACCGCCCGACGCCCGTACACGGCCCCAGCCTTGCAGAAAGTTTTTGTTCCCACAAGCAAACCTCGGAGGCGCCGCGGCCCCGGGCGCCGATGAAAACAAATATTCGGCGGCCTCCGAAGTGGTGCGGGTTTCATGCTGACACCGGCGGGCCCATGTGTGGTGTACTGGTGGTTTAAACCGCTAGTATACGGCCCCAGCCTTGCAGAAAGTTTTTGTTGCCACAAGCAAAACTTGGAGGCGCCGCACGGCCCGGGGCGCCGTTCAAAAGAAAAAAAAACGGTGACCTCCGAAGTGGTGCGGGTTTCATGCTGACACCCGCGGGCCTATGTGTGGTGTACTGGTGGTTTCAGGAAAATAAGAGTCACAGGTCTCTGGCCAGAATCAAGAAAGTGCTCTCAATCTGTCAATTCTTGCTGTCTGTTATTTTCTAGAGAACCATCAGTCAAGTAGAAACAACTATCAGTCAACTAAAAAATAACAGACAGCAAGAATTGACAGATTGAGAGCACTTTCTTGATTCTATGGGTGGTGGTGCATGGCCATTCTCAGTTGGTGGAGTGATTTGTCTTTTTTTTTTTTTTTTTTTTTTTTTTAACTATTCAGGATCTTGAAATCAATCCAGCAGAATGGGCGTGGCACGAGGGTAGGGGGGAAAGAAGAGCCCAACAACAGTCCAATAAAAGACTACACAGTCGAACTGGGATATGGAGTGCGCCTTAAGACAAGAGATCCAGAAACAGCAATCAAACGCAGACGGAACAGACTCGTTGGCCAGAACGCGATCAAATAATTAAAATGCCTTCTGATCCAGAAACAGCAATCAAACGCAGACGGAGGACATGCAAATTGATACGACGGATACGTGCAATCAAAATCAGAAGCCTTCATCAATGGCTAATTAGTAATCACCTATGCCGCACTGCCCGTCAATCATTGGTTGCACATAAGAAGAAGGAAAAACGACCTGAAGAGCGGAGATATCTGCAAGGCATGTTCAGATCAGGGGACAGGAGGAGTTTTTTTTTTTTCCATTTCTTTTTTCATTTTCCTTGTCTCAAAATGGGTGTCATCCTTGCGCAGGGGCCATGCTACTCTTCTCTACATCATTCCAATTTTAATGGATGTCCAGAACGATTGGAACGGGAAGACCTAATTCACTGCAGTGCGTTGTCAAATGCAACAAGGAGGCAACAGATCTGTGGGACCGTTGGGCCACGTCATCAGATCTGTGGGACCGTTGGGCCACGTCATCAGATCTGTGTGACCATCTCTTCCCCCCTACGTTCCTGGAACACCGGATCCAACTGCTCTGGAGCAACATCCCACCACACTTTAGTTAATCTGAAAGACCTGGTTCAGAATCTCGGATTGATCCGCAAAGCGATACTCTGGCCCTATGGCCCTGATACTGTCACTATCAGGGCGCCAGTCCTTGCATTGCTCATCCCACAGGTGGCCTACTTTGTAAATTCCCTGCGTGGCCAATTTCCATCTGTACGCCCCGCGAGAGCCCCTGCCAGCCTGCAATTTTGCACGTCATTAGACCTCCCTTTTTCTCAGGACTTGAACTCGTGACCTCTTTGATAACAGCTACAGTGTGTTTACCATTAAGGATTTGAAGTCACGAGGCTCCCATACTGTGTAACACCAAACGAGGACGTTCGCGAAGGACCGGACAAAGGACTACGACAAGATACAAGTAGGTGAGATACTGGAAATAATGACCGGCCATAGCTTCCGGCCCGGAAGCAACCATAGCCAGAGCTTCACGAGTACTTCAGGAAGAGGGCCAGGCATGCAGCAGAGGGAGGGTCAGTTGTATGGCCCAGAGTGAGACAACCAACGACCCTGCATTCTGGTCAGTAGCCCAGAGGTTACTTAGGAGACAAAGAGAAATATTCTACGTTCTCTCTCTCTCTCTCTCTCTCTCTCTCTCTCTCTCTCTCTCTCTCTCTCTCTCTCTCTCCCCCTCTCTCTC